TCTGAATTTATGAGTTCAGACTTTCCCTAGTCACATCAATGTAAACTGTATTGGGCAACAGTCAGTCAATTTGTATTGGATCGATCATAAATTAATTTCCAGATACGACACAGTTTGGAAACGTACGCCCCCTAACACTGCTCCCTGGTTGGTTTGTCAGCAGAATTGTCTCTATGAATATGGTACAATATTATCAGTTTTGTTTAATTGCCCCATATGCAAAATATTATTAGTAAAAAAGAAATAAAAAACTGAATTTGTTTGGGCACGTTTTGATCAGTGCTCTGCAAATTGAGTTGGGAAAATATTTGGGTTTTAACACTCACCTCTAGTATGCTTATATTTATTTTCTCTAGGATTTTTATTACTGAGTAGTCTCTGTGCTATTTTGAATACATTATTTTCATTTATATTATTTCAAGTCTATCAATTTCATTTCCATCTTCTTATGCCGCGCACAATGTCATTCACGATGTCAGTTCTGTCCAATTTTCCGTCAAAAGTTATTCACATGTGAGGCACCTGACCAACATCAATGCCCGTGGGTTCGGGGTGCTAAGATGAGTTTCTCTCAAAAATTTGATCACATGATGTTGATGGAATTGAAATCAAGGATGACATTGATATGTGGCATAAGAAGATTATTATCAATTTAGAAAATCATTTCAAGTAAATTTGTAGCCTTTTTGGACGATGGTGAGGTCATAGTACGAGATTATTAGTGGCTTAGTTTGGTGGTGGCATGCTCGTGCAACATACAGTGAGTAGATAAATTTACTTGTGAACTTGCGTCTATTTGAGGTTTAATAATTTGTTTAGTAAATTAACACAAGATAAGTGAAAAACTAGGGTTGTGATTAGATCCCCTAATATACTCGAATTAGAGAATAAATCAACAATGTATACCAAACTAACAATTAAGAATTGTATAAAGCTCCTCCTCAATTTTAAGGAACCAAGTTTTTTCCATAGTTTAATTAACAGTTTTTCACTAGGGTTTTGTATATGAAATGAACCGCAACAATATATCATCATCATCATTTATTTTCTTGAAAGGATGCCTCGAATTACACAATCCACTTTGTGTTGTATACAATATGCAAAGTTAACAGGGAAGTGAGCATTTTGCAAAGATGATTAGAAAATGGCCTCCTTGATCAAACTTTAGGCAGTACGGATGGTTGGGTTGGATTAGGATTCTATATATCTTTGCTTTTAAAGAACCAGAAAGTGCGTTTTATGCCCAAAATTAGAAGCTATTGGCTTTTATTGTGACAGAAAGAGCGGACAAAGATTAGCAAAATTAGCAAGTGGGAGAAGATGAGAATCCCATTAAAGAATTTGCGACAAGCTTTTTTAAACATCATATATTCTTTTACTTACTAGTTAAAGGTGTGATTAAACGATACGAAATCTTCAAGGATCACACCAACAAGTAGTTTTTTAATGTTGTAAAAAGGAGAAGGGTCACTTTTGCCAGCTGCTAGTGACTTTACAATCAAATTTTTTAATTCTAATCCCATCCAATGCATGTGAAGTTTCATTCATTTTTTTAATGACATAAGTGATGATTGAATCATTTAATTAGTGTATAATTAAGATTGATTTTAGCGTAATCTTAACGAGAATAACATATAAAGTACAAGTATTTGTCTGGCAAAATAAGTGCGATACGAGAATTCATAACCACACACATCCTGAATTCCATGTACAAGTAATTCTGCTCTCAAATTCTCTCAAAATGATGAACGATGGACTGATGAGTAGGCTGATTATTGCTGGTTGAATATGAACTTAAAAAGAATGCAGGAAGAGATTGAAATTCCTATCATTCTACAAAGTTTTACCCATATATCATTCTCAGCCTTTTGATTATATATCTAAAATGGTTCGGCCATAATTAATTTGCTATCGCTTTCGTTTTCTTTAATTTACCTTTAAGGATTAGACTGCTAATTACCCAGGTAATGATACCATATGTCTAGAGCTCTTTTGGTCCAACGACAATTTTTATTTTTTATTTTTATGAAGGTCCAACGACAATTTGAAACATACAGAAGCAGATATATATTTTGTATATATTAGTTCGAGGCAAAAGTAACATTCATGGCACATTTTTAATTACTATATATATATATAGTGTTTTGTAGCCCACCATGCATTAATTTATTTCAGGCATCTATATATACTTTTCAGTTACTTGTCAATTTGCACCCTTGAGGGCTGCGAAGGACCAAAATTCTATTTAACTGTATCTATTATTTGCGTCTGGTTATGGAGAGGTTCTAGCCTAACACTTATTATTTTAGATATTGAGGAAGGAGTGATTCAAATATAGGACTTCGATGTGAGAATGTGAAGGTAAAGAGTTCCACATTAGAAGGTTGAGAAATCTAACAACTTGCTAGGTTTCTCAACTTTTCAATATGAGACTTTTTACCTTCACATTCTCACACTCGAGTGCATAATAACTTCTTCAATACATTTGAAGTGCATATCCATTTGCCACGATACAGTTGAATTATTTAGTACTTCTTTAATACATTTATCATCAAGAAATTATGAAAGCCATAAATTCGAACTGGTTCAGGACAACCTAATTTAAATAATCTTTTGTACTTGTGTGAATAAACATGTGGCCCAAAATTAGGGTATATTTCAATTTGTCCAATATGCCAATACACACATAAAGCAAAAATTGATCTTGCCCTTGCTAGGTTTCTTAACTTTCCAATATGGGATTTTTTACCTTCACATTCTCACACTCGAGTGCATAATAACTTCTTCAATACATTTGAAGTGCATATCCATTTGCCACGATACAGTTGAATTATTTAGTACTTCTTTAATACATTTATCATCAAGAAATTATGAAAGCCATAAATTCGAACTGGTTTAGGGCAACCTAATTTAAATAATCTTTTGTACTTGTGTGAATAAACATGTGGCCCAAAATTAGGGTGTATTTCAATTTGTCCAATATGCCGATACACGCACAGGGCAAAAATTGATCTTGCCCTTGCTAGGTTTTTCAACTTTCCAATATGAGACTTTTTACCTTCACATTCTCACACTCGAGTGCATAATAACTTCTTTAATACATTTGAAGTGCAAATCCATTTTCCACGACACATTTGAATTATTTAGTACTTCTTTAATACATTTATCATCAAGAAATTATGAAAGCCATAAATTCGAACTGGTTTAGGACAACCTAATTTAAATAATCTTTTGTACTTGTGTGAATAAACATGTGGCCCAAATTTAGGGTATATTTCAATTTGTCCAATATGCCGATACACACACAGAGCAAAAATTGATCTTGCCCTTGTTAGGTTTCTCAACTTTCCAATATGGGATTTTTTACCTTCACATTCTCACACTCGACTTGAGTGCATAACTTATTCAATACAATTGAAGTGCATATCGATTTGCCACGATACAGTTGAATTATTTAGTACTTCTTTAATACATTAATCATCAAGAAATTATGAAAGCCATAAATTCAAACTGATTTAGAACAACCTAATTTAAATAATCTTTTGTACTTGTGTGAATAAACATGTGGCCCAAAATTAGGGTGTATTTCAATTTGTCCAATATGCCGATACACACACACAGAGCAAAAATTGATCTCATAATAGTCCTCGTGTTGGTGTTGCTACCCTTCTTTCTCCTTCCGTGTAACAAAAAGAAATAAATAAAATAGATCCCGTAAATAAATCCCAACAGCAGAAGCAAAGCAAGCAAACCTTAAAAGCCAGAAGAAGTGAGAATGAGGCAAGGCTATCAACTGCAACTGAAATAAATAAATAAATAATGGGGTGGATAATCATAATATATATAAACATATTTATATGGGGGGGGCAAGGGGGACAAGCGTGGGGTTGTCTTGTCATATCACCTTAGTATTAGTGGCCTACCCCTCCTCTCTCCTCTTTTGACATTTCTAAGAAGAGTAATGGGTTAGCTGAGCTCCTTACCTCCTGGTGCTTTTTGAAATTACTAGATTGGCCTCCCTCTTCTTTTGTTTTGTTTTGTTTTTTTTACTTTTTTAAGATGAAGCATATATCTTTGTATGATACAATGGTAACATGTATTAGGAATGTTGCGATGAATATCATGTTTGAGTTAAGCACATGAATTCTCATCTCCCATTCTCTTTTTTGTTTTATTTTTAAATTTTCACATTATGTGATTTCATATTAGTCTTGATAAGTCTGCCGATATTTCACTCCGAGAATTCCAGTTACACCTCCTGACGTTTGGACACCCTTTATTCAAAACCTCAGGCGGTGTAACTGAAATTCTTCCATATGTCACGCGTTCTACTTGTAACTAGTCCTCATTTGGTTCTGGGTGCATTTTAATTGATTTAGTTTTCCACTTTACATATTTCCACAAATATGTTAAAGATGTCATTAATCACTCTGTTAAATACATTTGACTATGCTTAGTATGTGGGATTAGACTGGACTAATAACAAAACAACTGAACCTGTCGAAGGAAGATCTATGTCCAGCCCAAACCCACACACTCCAGTAACCCAGTCCAGCCCACTATCAATCCAGCTCGCACAAAGCAAACTGAGAAGTGGAAAAGAAATTAGAAGAATAGTAATAGTAATACAAACACTGTATAATAGTAATCCAGCTCGCATACATAATTTTTATTTTTTATATTTTGGTTTTGATTGTATAATAGTAATACAAACACTGTTTTTTGGTTACATGGAAAATCAAATCTAATGGAGACCACAGGATACAAAGTACTTCACACAAGAGAAATAAATAAATAAAAATTAGAAAACACTAGATCGATTCGGAATAAATTTGGAACGACTATATGCAAGGAGTCATTTTAAAATTGTAGTCATGTAATCTTACAATTTAATCTTATAATGTCATCTAAATTCTTAGGCAGTTAAAGCTTAAATGTTTGAAGAATAAGAATTAAAATCAAAATTCCGATTGATAATTGTTAACGAATAAAATTGCAAGTCAGGCAGGGAAAATTTGTTCACTGGTTATACTGTGCTGTACACATTACATCAAGACATGACATGGTAAAGACCCGATTTCATTCTACCAGGGCATTAGTCATACAAAGATACAGGAGTACATGTATCATGGTACAAGCTATCTGCATATTCGAAAGAAAACTTATATTCGCAATGCTCTGTATGCCGGTACAGTTCAGACAATTGCCCAAAACTTCTTCCTACAAATTAACACAGTTTCTGTCTTCTTCTCTTTGTTTTCCAGCAAATGTGATTCAACCTCCCACAAAAATTTTGGAGCAAGATCCTGGATCCTTGATGTAATGGTTTCGTCGTCTCTAATGACAATAAATCCCTGCACAATAACTCATTGAATGTAATTCTGTATCATAAGCCACTAGGAACAGAAAGGAGTTACAAGAGGTATAATTTCGTCGCTTGACAAAGAAGTAAGTTTTTCTTAACTACATTAAAATTATATACGATGTTTTCTAATCACAGAAAAGCTCAAGTTCACACTCCGTGTGAAGAAAGTACTGACTTCCCAATAAATGTAGGGTTACAACACTAAGTCCTTATAAATTTGCAATACTGCTCGAAGAATAACTAAAGATTTATATGACGACATCTGAAGTATGTGTTTGCAGATGGCACAATTTTGTTGGACAACATATAATGATACACTTGTCACAAAACTGGAAGAAACAAAATATGAACTCAATGCATTAGAATGAAGGGGCTTACGAAGAACTAGAACTAAGACAGAATATATGGAGTGCAAATTTAACAGACGCTGAACATCATAATAACTATATTAGTCAAACAAATCACTTCTGATATCAAGAAGTAGAATAGTGAAGCAAATGATAAACAATGGAAGATGAGAATTTATGTCTGAATCCATACGCATGGGATAAAGGTGAGGATAATGATGATGAAACTTGGAATAGAAACTTAGTACGCAAAAGTAATTATATTGCCTTGCCATCCTTGAAAAAAAATTGTTCTTCTTTCTTCGTTTCTTCATATTCCATAACTTATGTTTTTAATACTTCAATAGAAACAAGCATAAGAGATGGCATCGATCGAAATTATTACCTGGGGTCTTATTATCCTGTCCATCTCCAAAAGGATATCCTCCAATAAGCAACCTTCTCCGCGGTTCTTGTAATGAGAGAAGAGATGGTTGGCATGTAACAGATCATAGGTGCGTGGATAAGTGGAAAATGCTTCACACCTAATATTCAGGAAGGATTAGATGCCATTCTTTTTATTGGAGTACCAATTTGATCACAATTTAGCTACATTTTGTACACTATCTACTAGCAATAGGTAACAGGTAAACAAGAACTTACCAATCATGGAAAGCACCAATCAGACCACGATTATAAATGGCAGACAAGGTATTCTTCATGCTTGAAGGAACTATATTCATCACCCATGTAGGCGATGCATTTAAGGCCACAGCAAATCCACCACAAAAAGCATTCATGTCCATGACATTTCGGATTTCTGTCTTACTGACATTCAGCAACCTCCAGTAATGTCGAACTTGATCTTGCCAAAAGATGGTCTCTGATGTAAATTCCTCTTGAGTAACACCTATTATAAGCATATTTACGAGGGGTGTAATCAGACTGCATAACATTGTTTTCTAATACATTAAGAAAAGACACGAAGAAAGTGGGACACTAGTAGTAGTCCTTCTCATGTATCAGAAAAACCTAAACTTCTGGTCCATTATTGTAATTTAGTGTTCTATCCTATGCATCAAATTCAGCCTTATGTATAACTACGGAGGGAACAAAAGCATCTTTAAACTAAATATAAAATAAATAAAAAAACTATCCAGGGGATTTTTTCTTTTTCTAAAAAGAAGAAACTGAAGGAGAAAGACAAAAGCTTATCGTATGAAATAGAGCAGGAACAAACCTATTCTGCCAAGACTCTCAGTGTATATCGAAAGGCGCTCAGATCTAGAAGGGAGTTTTGGAGAATCTGTTTGTGCACCCCTTACTTGTATACAATTCTTCAGTGGTGTATTCCATGATGACTTGGAATCATCCACAGAATCACATAAATTTATAAGCTTCTGTTCAGAGTTGTGCTGGAGGCATGACAGATCATCTTGTTTAATCCAGATTGCAGTCTGAACTTTTCGAGCAATGAGTTTCCAGCACATTGCTGAAGTCAGATTCATTAGCTTCTCCCAAATTAATGGATAGTTTTTAGTCGTTTTATAAGCAGGTGGAGCTGAATAGACAAAGTATCCATTAGATCGCAAAAGGCGATTCATTTCTTTTAGTAAAATGCCATCTGCACAAAACAAATTAACAAAAAAAAAAACAGAGAACACACGATAAGCAAACTCTATTGACGCATACAAACACATTAATAGAATTAACATTGTAAGGTTTCAAACCCAGAAATGGCAAAGCAGCCTCACAAAATCTAGCATATTGCTTAGTTAACTTATACCTCTCATACCATTAAAAGAAAACAAAAACAAAAAAAAAGCCATTATCTAGTTCAATGTTTAACATATCCAATGAAATTTCCTTTTCTGAAGCCATCACATATTGATAAAGGGTGGAAACTGAGATGTCAATGGATTTTGGTGTTGGTGGGAACTGTTGACAAATTTTCAATTTGTTTTTTGGCGGGCTTTCCTTGTCAATTTAATGACAAAATCAGCAAGCTGTTAAGACTTTAATAAACAAATTTGTAGTATAAACCTAGCTATGGAACCTTATGGACAACAACTCAAAACCAATACATGAAGCTTAGGATAGAAAAAAACCATTTTCATGCCAATCAACTCGACATCGAGAACAATGAACCATCTCAAAAGAGCCAGTGGGATATGGCATTTGTTTTGTTGCTATAGCAGAAATCATTGCACCAATGCCTCGCTCTAAAGCAAATTGAATTTGATTCTCATGGCCGTCCTTTGGAGCAAAGGACATTGTTTGTATATCCAAGGGAAGAAGAAAAGCAGAAAAGCTGGCAACCCCACAACCAACATCCAAAATTTGAGTGACCCCTGCAGAACATAGATCACCTTTTCCATTTGTTATCATATCTCCCAATCTGCAAAATCCAGTAAGGCGAATAAACAAACTGAAAGTGACGTATGCACATAAAAACTTCAAATATCTTGAATCAGGTCTAATGAATTCATATTCATTAAAAATAATTTCACACCAATGATTACTTGAAGTTAGCTAATAGATAATCATCTACCTCAATGCCATAAATACCAATTAGCACGAGTGTACGAAACGAAAGACATCGAAACGAGAATAAGATAAGTAAGCAAGTTGATTGCAGATACCTTTGAATGTACTCAGCTGCGCCATGTTTAAAATGCGTACCACCACCAGGGAACCACCAGAGTTGATCCTTTTCATGCACCCAATTTTGTCCTCCTTTGACTTCAGCAAGATGTGTATGATTCACATTGCTTCGCCACACATAGTCCCTGCTGGTAGGCCATCTTATTGGTATCTTATAATCTCTTGGTGGGGGAACCAAGCAGAACAATCGCTTTTCAATTGGAGGGCAGTGCCTCTCTAGTTTTTCTTTTCTACTAGTGTCCAAGTTTGGAAGCAAAGTTTTTACGTAAGAAACATCGTGGCAAGGGATATACTCATTATAAGTCAATGGGCATACATCCATACCAGTCTCTGGGATCAAAAGTGGTGTTTTTCTGTAAGTAAGTGCAACTTTATTTGTAAATGTCGAAGTACCTGCAGCAAAATTACTCACAAGAAGTTAAGTTCCACCAGCTCAGACCATACAGAAACAAACAGCTTTAGTAAACAAGATTTCAACTAGATGTCACCTTTGAAATTAGATTTCAAATGTTACTAGAACTTCAGAAATACAATGAGATTCCTAATTTGAAAAGACCTTATCATTGAGAATGAAGTCAGTCACTATCAAAATTTTCACCACAAATATGTACTTTTATTATAAAAAGAAGGGGAAAAGAAAAAACAAAAAAAGAAGAAGGTCCCAATCAAAACTTACAATTTCTTACAGCTTTGCTGAACAGTGAACTAGTAAACAAGGTCATTAACTTTGAGCTCCAAATTAAACATGCTGGAACATTATATACTTCAGTTTATAGGAAATAAGAAACAAAAATCTGGATTCTTGAACAAATGTACTAAGAATTCTCTTGAAAATTTGGTTCAAGCTAACTCTTTATTCTCCCAAAATCAAAAGTGTTTCTAAAATGCATGCATAAAACCTTCATTGGTCTGAAAAACAAGCTCAGAGAGAGAGAGAGAGGGAGAGAGAACAAACCAGGAGATGAAGAAGAACTGATGCTAAGTTGAGATGCATAAATTGGAGCATTATTTCCTAAGAGAGTTCCGGCATAGAAGCACCCGGCCATCAATAGCAGAGCCACCACTATCATCTGCCCCGATTTGAATTTAAACGCTGAACACACCACATTCCCACCCCCCATTTCCTGAAATCCTCAATTGGGTTGCTCCTAAATTCCCAAAATCAATGGGATCCAATGGGAATTTCAGCGGTCCGCTTTGAATTATCAATACATCCAACTTGGACGGCTGGATTTCAATGTTTTAATCTAACGGTCCAGAATAAGTTGTAAAGAAAAACTAATAAACAAATTCAAATAAAATTTCAATTTTACACATATGACAAATCCAGAATGGGAGGGATGGGGGCTGAGGGTGGATGGTTTTTATTCAATTTTTATCGATATTTATAATTTTTTTATATTTTTATTGAAATTCCGTGTTTTCGGATTACCGATATTTCTTAAACCATCAATATTTTAGACCGGAGTCTCGGGAAACAAAATCTCGTCAGTAATTTTTTTAGATTTCTTTCACCGTGGAGAACAAGACGTCCAAACAGATCACCATAGTCACCATGAGGGATGCATGTGACAACAATGACTGTTTTTCTTTTTCTTTTTTACAGAACTTTTTCTTTTTAAACAATGGGTGAGAGAGATCATCCAAATTTAAAATATCTTCCAATATTAGAAGAATGGATGTGCACACGTGAGTTAAGTTATTTGATTAAGGTAGTCTACCCAAGTTCAAACCCCCTTCCATTACAGTTCAAACTCCTACGTAGAGGATGAGGATAATGTCCCGACCAACTAGCTTAATCTATGTCCACAAGAGAGAGATTTGTCAACAAAAGTTTGTGTATCACTTTGTCTGCTGTCAATTCATTCCAATAAGGGGACCAATTCATATGTATAGACTCCAAACATCACCCTTCTTCCTTGGATATATGCAGATATCCCACGTGCTGCTTTTGTGAACCAAATTTCTGTGAAAATAAAATATTTTGAGAGAGATGTATTGATTTCATATGGCACTAGCCGCAGTCATTTGTACTTCACCACAAGTTAAAATAAATGGAAACTAAAAAAATCAATTAACAAGTACATGAGTTTTCGACCCAAAAAAAAAAAATTACATGAGTTGCAGCCAAGCAGGAGGTTAAAGCTATGTTCTTATGGCATATTTGGAAATTGGATCTATTAACTACTCAAAAACAACATTTATGCCCACTTGCTCTATATATTGGATCTTGAGTCTCTGCATTTAAGTCCCATGCTATGCACCAATAAATAAGCTAATGTTCTGTCAGATCAGCTACTCATCCATAACAAGACTCATCAGAAGCCTCAACACATAAAAACCTCTAATTCAGGACTAGTTTAGCTGTCAATTGTTATCCTTGATTAGCTTTTTAGTTAGAATGGGTTAGTGTATTAAGTATTAAGAAACAAATTTGTGTAAAAGGCTTGTATTGTTAATGAATTATTAGTGAACGAAACCAACCAGTTCTAAATTAGAGAATTAGCTCTCTAAAAGTTGATAAATCGCATCCCAATACTAAATAAATCCCATCAACTTGATGGTGTGATCTATCTCCAGAAACAAACCCAAAGATCCATTTTCCTGGAGCCTTCAATCCCCCTCCACCCTGGCTTTTTTTCTCACCTCTCCCCTTGGCGCATTTTTTTTATTTTCAGCTAAATCCCTGTGCCATCCTACTTAAATATTCCAACACTTCATAAATTGCTTCCGTTTGATGGTGTGATCTATCCCCAGAAACAAACCCATAAATCCTTCCTTCTTCAGCCTCAATGCAGCTCCACCCCGGCTTCTTCTTTAGATCCCTCTCCTTCATAACTCTCCTTATCTCTTCTACTTCATCCCACTCTCCAACACTAGCTTGTGTATTACTCAATAGAGTATAATACCCGACATTATCAGGTTCTAGTTCCAACAGCCTCTGAGCTGCAAATTCCCCCACATCTCTACGACCGTAAATTCTAGACCCTGAAAGAAGAGCACCCCAAATCCTACTATCTGGAAAACTCGCCATTTTCATAATGAACACTAAGGCCTCTTTGAGCTTCCCAGATCGACCCAACAGATCAACAATGCTTGTGTAATGGTCTAGGTCAGGTTCGATACCGAACTTCCATTTCATGGAGCAGAAAGCTTCACAACCTTCGGTCACAAGGCCGGAGTGGCTACAAGCAGATAATAAGCTTAATATGGTGACACTATTTGGTTTTGTTCCTTCTCTTATCATTAGATCAAACAGTTTCAAGGCTTCCAAACCAAGTCCATGGCTCCCATAGCCCTCAATCATTGATGTCCATGCCACTATATCTCTGATCAACATTCTACTAAAACAGACCCTAGCAGTAGATATGCTACCGCATCTTATGTACATGTTTATTAGGGAGGTTTCAAGATGAGTATTGCACTTCTCAGCATCACAAAAAGATTTCCTTATTATGCAACCATGAATTCCTTTTCCTAACTTGAGAGCACCTAGGTTTGCAAATGCATCAACAAGGCTTCTTAGTATCTCAGCCCCAGGTTCAACACCTGCAGCTTGCATTCGGCCGAACAATCCAACAGCCTCATTGAAACAGCCATTTTGAATAAAGCCAAACATCATTGCACCCCAAGTAATGCTGTTTCTATGAGGCATTTCTCTAAACAGTTTATCTGAGTTTCCCAATTCCCCGCACTTGGCATAGAAGTCCAACAAAGATGTTTGCAAGACGTCGTCACAAAGCCCACTTTTTGTTGCCAAGCAATGCAAGCTTTCACCTTGGGAAAGAATCCCATGTTTGGTTAATGCTGATATAACCAACGTCAATGTCTCACTGCTGGGTGCTACTTCACCCTGCATTTCATGAAACAAGTCTATTACCTTTACAACATCCCCTCTCCAAGAATAAAAGGAAATACGAATATTCCAGGAAACAACATCCCTTCTATCAAGTTCGATGAAAAAATCTTCGACTTGGTCAACTGTACCTAATTTAGCATACATTCTGAAAATTGAGTTCTGCACAGACCCATCATTTAGTAAACCACTCTTAATCCCATAACCATGAAGTGGTTCCCCATAAACTGAAATTTCAATGTCACAACAGCCTTGCAACATGACCAGCATTGTCACAGCATTTGGTTCCAACTCCCTCCTCATTTCACTGAACAAACTAAACCCACAGGCAACGTTTCCTTCAGAAACATACCCGGAAATCATCGATGTCCAAGTAACCAAATCTCTCTGACGCATCTCATCAAACAGCTTTCGAGCATAATCAAGTCTCCCGCATTTCACATACGCGTCAATCATTGTATTGCCAACATATACATCCATTCCAAAACCAATCTGAATTGCCACACAATGAACCATTCCTGAATATGTAGCATCACTCCCAAGCAACAAAACCGCCCTGTTTACAATCGGAAACGTGAAGCAATCATGTGAAACACCCAATTCAAGCATCTTTTTGTACAGCAACAGAGCCGAACCAAGCAGACCCGAGTCGACATGAGACTTTATGATCAAATTCCACAACATGGTATTTGGTTCTTGTATTGATCTGAAAACCAAAGCAGCGCTCTCGACGCCGTTGAACCGAGAATACAAAGTGATCACCTTCGAAAGAAGGGAAGGAGGTTTGAACCCAGTTGAGACTAGGATACGAGCATGGACTTGTCTCAGGGTCTGAAGGTCCTGGCATGAATCCAGCACCGAACCTGAAGAAAAAGACGAAGAGATTGAAAGAGAAGGTGCGAGGTTGTGGTAGGGATGTTTCAGGTGATGGGTGTGAAATAGAAGAGGAAGTTTTGAGGTTGTAGAGAAGAAGTGAAGACGTTGAAAAACATGGAAATGGGATGAAATCTTGAAGCTAAGGACAAGGACTTGCAATAAAAGTGTGCAATTCTTGGGAGTGTTTAAAATAACGATTTGTGATCTCAGTCTGGTCCAGAACAAACACCAGTGCAATGAAAACGAAATCTATTTTTAAAATAAAAAAAAGTTCTGAATGCTAATTGTCCCACATCGACCAAACACCAAACATGGGTACGGTTTATATGGCTGAACATGGGACTTCAGTTCACGACCTTACTTGGACAGGATCTGTTCTATAGGATCGTACCTCTGTATCCTTGATTTCTAAGGAGACAGGAATCCCAACCTGGTGGATGAATCATGACCGTGCGATCAGAGCGTGATTAACAGCTTCTGATTCTTCGGAATCATGAAGCAGTAGAGGATCGTTCTCAGCTGGGTGACTGGCTGGGGTGGTCACACGGTTGTCTGACAGGTTCCCTCTCTTTTTGTGCCAATTCTTTTTCTTTTTCTTCTTGGTCGATTTTTCTGCCCAATTTTATTATTAGTCTTTGTTTGAATTAGCAACCAAAACTTGGATAAACACATTTTTATTTGCTTTTTGGTTGCAATACATTGATAAGGGTTATTTGTTTTATTAGTCTCTGAACTTAGACTCAATTTGCATTTGAGTTCTTCAATTTTCAAAATCGTTCCCATGGTCCTTTAACTTAACTTTCAATAAGACAAATGATCCGGTCATCAATTTTGTTAACTTTTTCTGTTAAATATAGGGGCAAAATAGTATTTTTATATTAAATTGATAAAACGATTAATCCGTTGATAAATTCCGAGTCCCAAGCTTAAGAAATTATTATATTGGATGTATAAGTTTATGTTGCAGTAAGCTTAAGCAACCATCAACAAACTACATTAAAAAATTAGCTTGAATAATTTGTACACTGCATAGGCCAGCTTAGGGAGCACATAGATATAGACGTGCATCCTACCACTGTTTGGTGCAACCATGTAAGATGAATATTGACTGTAAAAACGTTCTGGTCGTTTTCTCCCAAAATACTTTTACAACTACTCGGAAAATGAGAATCTTATCTCTCAATATTATACCACCACAGTGAATGAAACTCAAACTATTCCTCAAGATAATAACTTAGCAACACAAGAATTGTTACCTCTTTGCTTCCATAAACAATCTAGACACAAGGGATCCATCAGTCAGTAAAGATACAGACTCAATCCATCAGTCACAAGAATTGTTACCTCCCGGGGAAAATTATTTTTTTGTAATTACCACACTAACTCTACAACCATCCATTTCTTTGGGTGTGATCTATTATCTCCTTCTGAAACCATCTTCAACATTATAATTTAAAGTATTATTGATATGACACCAGAAGTCCAGCTTTCTGCTAATCTGCCCTTCTGAATTTCCATTTTCTGTTATGCATCTACAGAACAAAAATATCACAAAACAGGAGATATCCCTGCATCAAAACTCTCCAGCCATTTCCCACCTGGTGTTTGCTCCACAAACTTTTGAAATCCCCAACATCAAATTCAAAACTTGATTTTTGAAGGGCCTCTTATCCATCTAAGAAAACTACAAAGAGCACCTCCATACAGCCCAGTGTCAATGTATTCGTAAGCAAGAACCCTCTAGTCTCTACCAGTTGCAAAACCAGGAAAAAGTAGTTAACAAAAGTGACAAGTTACAAAAGTAAAAGGTAAGCAAGATGTCAAATATTTTACAAAAGCAAATCATAGATCAATACGTTCCAAAGCAAAAAAGGTAAATCATGACAGGAAGGACAAAGGGTGAACTTGAAGATCATACAAGATATACATATCGTTGTAGATCTGTAAAATAAATTGCACTATTCTTTTTGACCAAAAATAGATTTATGCTTTCATAGCTTAGGCTAACGGCATTATTGGTAACATCCAGCAAATTTATAAATCACATAACAAGATGCCAAAGCAAAACTATCCAGCAAATTATACAGAGATCATAGGCTAAGGGACAATTTGGCACACATAAAGAGCAACTATAATACTACAATGAAAACAGAACAGCAAGAAACTGCTCCAGATTAACGTCCCCAAGAATACTATTTGTGAACCCAACACAATTATGAAAACAAAATCTGGTTTCCATCATCACAAAACAAGATATAGGAGTATGCAAAATCTAAAATTTCAGAAGTAGGGAGATTTTTGGCAATCTGTTTCATCAGTTAAATTACCATCCAAACAGCCTGTGAGAAGTTTTCATTTACTAGGACGAATTGTATAGATAGCTGCAATCGCAACTTTTGAAAATTTTTACACTGGGTCATCACTTCTAAAAATGATGATGTAATAATAACACATTTCCTGTTAAAATTACATGGGCAGCTGAAATTGCATTATACATCAATATAAAATGTAATGTACATCACCCACCTGGCTTCAGCATATGCAACAATTCCCAAAATCTGCATGGATCAGCAGCAGCCTCCAGAAGACAAGAACCTATGGTAAACAGATACTAAACCAGAGGAATGTAAAACTCAGCCCCCATCCACAAATGAAGTGCAATCAATGTCCTGAAAGGTGATTCTCCCTGTGTATAAGTCATGTATGTGATCAGGACAAACAGGGAAGCATTTCAGATTGAGACTTTCATTAATTGCACCCATCCCAGGGACCCATTTCTTTTCATCCGCAGGGTTCACATTCAAGCGATTTTGCAATAGTCGTACACGATAAACAACAGTATCGGTTTTGTCACAGAAATGAGCAACACAAGAATATGGAGGCTCATCAGAAGCTAATCTAATCAAAGCCAAGGAGAACGTCCCATCCACTGGTTTTGGATCAGAGAGATTTTTATCTCCCATCATTTTCACCTGCCTTTCTGTGGGGAAGTGCACTTCTTCATTTCCATTTATATCAAACACTTTCAAATCTTTAGTAAAATGTTTCAGGGCTTCACGTTTGGTGGATTCATGCTTTTCTGCTAGAGTCAAGATACAAGAGAACCTCAAGTGATAAGTCACAACAGTTTTGACCATCTTGAAGTTATGGCAGCAGCAATAAAATTCCAGCCATCTTCTCCCTATACCCGCATACCACTTAATGATATCAGTATCTTCGAGAGCAGTTAGTAAAGTAATTGGCCTGGGACGACCCATATGATTTGTAAAGCCAATCAACCTAACCATTTTTCTAATAAGTTCTATGGGTGCATCAGCTTTGACACAGAGCTTTGTCAAATCCTCAACTGTGCCCTTAGCATATTTCTTCTCCTCTTCATCTTTTATTCTCCTTTCTTCGTCCTCCAGTGCCCTTCTAGCTTTGACTGGGTTTAAATGCTTGTCAACTTGCTCTTGGAACTTACCATAAGCATCAACAAGCTCTTGAGGCAGTTGATCTCTAATGTGCCTTAAAGAGAGAAAATTACCTGCCGATAGCTTACGGTACCAATCCCAACGCTCCTCCAAAGAGCCAAGGTACTCTTGCACCGTCTCATCAGCCCAGGTTCTGAAGATTTCTCTAACTTCATTCTTAATTTGATATTCAAATTTAAACCCATCACTTCTCTTCGACTTCTTATAAACATGGCTCATTATTTTCAATCCCAATTTCTTCCTATTCCTCTCTCTAGCATTTTTCAATTCCTGAGCTCTGACTTCCTTCTGTCTAATGTACTTTTTTCGTGCTCTCATAGCCTTTTCTGACATAGGAGGATTCAAAACTGAAGGTTTTACTGCCTGTAATTCCATGCCCATAAAAGCAATCTTCTCAGACGCCGCACTATGAATAGCTGTTTTTATCTCATCCACCTTCAATTCCAGTATCCCCTCTAAGTGCTTCACAACCCAGTTCTTTAAATCCATTGTCAACATCTTAGACCCGGAAGTTATCACTAATATTTCATCCAAGTACCTAACTGCATATATCTTCACTGGCTTGTAAAACACACCATCCTTAGAAACAAGCTCATTTGAATCAAAGTTGGGATGCTCCTGATTCTTATTTAGACGCATTTCTTGAATTTCTTTATCAAACCCATTGAAGTAAATATTTATCAAAATTGAACTCAACCCACTTTCCTGAGGAAACCCTCTTCCAAAGAAGCAACTACCCAATTCAATTCTCACCGCACCGCATTCAAACAACCTCTTTATAACATTAATCAAACTCTCATCCTCTATTTTCTCTTGCATAAACAAGCATAGCTTATTTACATGTTGTTGATCAAACCTTTCGCGGTTAAAGCTAACTGTAAACCACCAACTGGGGTTCTCTACAGAGTTCTTAAGGTACCTAATGGCCGTGTGCCTGCCCATATTGACACGACCACCATAAGAAAACGTCACAAAGCGTTCATCATAAACAATTCCCAATACCATCCTAATAGCTTCAATCAAAACCTTCAATTTCAAGTTAGGCAAGACCAAAGACTCACCTCTATTTCTTTGGGCCGCCATTGTAACAATGCAAGCCCCAATATCGAACCGATTCTCGAAGAGCTCGCGACCCATTTCGTGGATAGAGAACCGCTTGGAGACCGAGTCGAGAAGGGACGGGCTGAGGCCATTTCCATTTGGGGCTTGTGGGGTGGTGAGGTTTTGGCAGGCGGCAAGGAGGACAGTGGGCAAAGCGACGACGTTTTGGAGGAGGTTGGTGAACTTGCCATGCTTGTAATGGCTGAGAACTAAGGATTTGAGTTGGGATTCTAAAAGAGGCTCTGTAGAGTTTGCGTTTGGGTTTGGTGCTGAAGTTGAGAAGAGATTCAGAGGAATGCAGAGTGAAGGTTTGGGATGAAATGGAATGCGTATTGTTTTTCTGAGGTTTATGAGCATCGAAGCTAAACCTCCACTTCCAAATTGGTTTCAGAGCGAGTGTAAATTTCAGAGAGGAAAAGCTTTTATTTCTTTTTTGTAGGGAAAATGGGTGGGACTGTGAGAGAGTACCCCAAGCTCGTTTTATGGGCCAATATAGTCTGCAATTGGTCTTACAAGGTTATGAGGAGCTAAATGAGTGGGCCTCTATAAACTATTATGAGTCATTGGGTTCGTGCTTATTTTGTGAGGGTTCAAGATCTACCTCAATTCGCTATCATTTGTTTCAAGGTTTTCAAGTTCAATGGTCCTTAAACTTTGACTTGATTCGCATTTTGGTTCCTCAATTTCCAAAATCATTCTCGTGATCCTTCAACTTCAATTTCGTTAGGACAAATGGTCATACAGTCAATTTTATTAACTTTTTCTGTTAAATTTTAGCATGTGCATGGCACATGGTGTACTATTGAGGGTCAAAATCGGAAATTGCTTCTCTCCTTAGGTACATGGGCAATTCCTAGCACACCCAAACCCCACACCCACAACCCTACCATAGCAACTTAACTCTCCCCATCCGTATATCTCCCACACTCTCTGTGATGGCTTTTGCCCCTCACTTTATATCATATCCTCGATTTTGTTTATGAAAAAAAATTGAATTTTTTTTTTTGAATATTTCATCATGGGGAAAGAGGGGTTGGCACTGGGTGGGATGGTGAGGGTGAGGGTGACGAAGACTTGATGGTTGTTATAGGTTGTGTGTGTTTAGGTGGGGTTGGGTTGGAGAGGTTGTGGCTACTGTGGCGAGGATAAGAGGAAGAATTTTTAGTTTTTAGGTGAAATGAATATTCATATGGTGGAAATTAAAAATAATACAAAAATACCATTTTGCCCCTACATTTAACAAAATTGATCACATAACCATTTTTTTAGGTGAGACCCAAGGGTATCCACCGCCGACAGTAGTGACTAATCCCTTTCGCCGCGGGAGCTCTCCCAATGGAGGTAAACGGCTGGCCACAAAATGCGCTTCATTCCCATGGGCGGGGATCGAACCCCCAACCTCATGGTTAAGGAATGAGGTGAGCTACCACCACACCACATCTCATGGTTGATCACATAACCATTTGTCCTAACACGGGAACGATTTTTGGAAATTGAGGGACCAAAATGCAAACCGGGTCAAAGTTCACGGGACAATTAGACCTAAAAAACCTTATTTCATGTATTGAAAGTTTCCATTTCGACCAAAAAAAATAATTGACCGAACTGATTCAATTCAATTGATTCTTTTGAAACTAATCAATTTAATCTCAATTTAATCTAATTTTAATCAATTTCGATGATTTGACGAATTGCATTGAATTTCTAAATTCTAAAACATACATGATTGGATTGAATTACTGATTTGCTTGTGAGAATCACATAAACTCAAGGATGGAGATGTCGTGTTGATATCTTCATTTGTATCGTTGAAGTTTATCAAATGAAGTTTCTTTTTTATTAAAAAAAAAAAATTCTCTTGAATAAGAAGACACGTGTCAAATAAGTAACCAATGGACAAAGAGGGTACACCAATTTTGGTAACTGAAGATCCAAACTCGCTTTCTTCCTTAGAGCATCTACAATCATGCTCCCTCCAATCATATTCCCTAGTTTAGGAGGTCATAAATGGTCAATCTCTATTTTTTTTAAATTAATATAAACAAATAGTCATTATTAGGGGTGGGCTGAGTCAACTTGATCGAACCGTCCAACTCGATCATAATGGGTTGGGTTGGCCTAAAAATGAGCAAGTCTTAGGTTTAAAAAATCATAAACTGTTATGTATGGGTCGGATTATAGGTTGGGCTAAACCCGACCCAACTCAACCCATGCCCACCCTTATGATCATTAATTAAAGGTTTAAAATTTTTCTAAAGAATGGATAGGGAGTATGGTTGGAGTTATATTTTTTTCAATTCCTCCTTAAAATTTGTCTAAAGATGTGGTTTAGAGTAAGCAATCTAATTAAGTATCCCCAACTAATGACCTCTCGACAATTGTCACCCCACTAACATTTAAAAAAAATTAATATGTTGCCTATGCAGCTATGCTCCTCCATCCTATGCGAACTCTATAACTCTACTTTAACACTTAAGCCCAAAAAAAAAAATCGTCAAACCAACATTCAAGCCTTCTTATCCCGACCGCTGCTCCTAGCCACATTCGTCTCCATCGGCATCAAATTCCACATTGCCATCCTCCATACTTCGAGTCCCCATCCCCTCCTCCATCATTGTTGGTGTTATCTATCTCTTCTCATACCTCCTTATAGTTTTCTCTCTTCATGCCAAAAATAGTGATGTTGGTGACCTTGCCAAACTCCAAACTTAAGGTGGCTGACATAAAATTTCGAGGCTAATCTCTCCCTCTCTTTCTCTCTTCTTGCCGGACTCTAATGTGGCTGATGCAAAGAGAGAGAAAGATAGGGAGAGAGGAGAGTAAGTTAGAACATAGAGAGATATGGGGTTTGCATTGCACTGTAGGAGAAGGAAAGAGGCGGTGCAAAGGGATAGAGAAAAAGGGTTTTAGTTGTTGGTTTCACATAGGATGAGGAGTGGAGGGGCCCTTTTTTTAAAAAAAATTTAGTGGGTGACATCTACCGGGAGATCATTGGATGGGGATACTTAGCTGGATTGCTTACCTTGGCATCCCTATGCTAGGGAAGTTTTTCTCCCATTGTGGATGCTTTTTTAACTTTTTTTTGTTGATACATTCTCTTTTCTAATTTATTAATGGAAAATTCAACTAAAGGAAACCTTAGAAAAAAAAAATTAGATTCATTAAGCCACAAAGATGAGATTACACTTAATCTCTGGGCAATAGAAGCAAAGATTAAAATTTTGAGCTTCAAAACACAATCTAATCTTTAGGCCTAAAGAGATTGAAGCACTTAGAGACTTCTACAAACTACTAGTGACAGAGTAGAGAATTCTTTACACCTTTGTAGCACTACATTGAGCAAAGCTCAAGGTTGATCACCCATGGAAGGCCTTTACCAAATGATTCTCCAAAAGAGAGCCACTCAAATGTTTGGCCTCTAACTTCATACACATCAAAGAAAGAGGATGGAGGAGGAGATGAAGAACACAAGGAGGTGGAGATGCTAGTACCCCTCATTGTGTGGCCGGCCATGGTGGTGGGGGGGGAGGGAGGGAAGGAGCATGGTGTTGCCTCCTTATCCTCCCATCATTCGAAATCCTAGATAAAGATGATGACCATCTCCATTTATATATAGGCTAGGCATTTCAAGTTAGGTCATCCATGACTCATATCACTTGAAATGACCCATGTGGGTCATTAAGTGGGTCGAAACCTACCAACACTCCCTTATGACCGAATTTTCTTGCTTATTGGGCTTATTGGGCTTCATCTTTTAAGTTTTCATCTACAACTCATCTTATGGGCCCAATAGGTCCAAGCCCAATGGGCCTTGAAACTCTAAAACTAATTTTAGGCCCAATAAAAGTCCCGAGTATTGATTATTTAATTAATCTCTATTAACTAAGTAATCGTTGATCATCATCTCCTTATTAATTTTCCATCTCAATCATACCTAATGCTTTGGCCGAAGACTCGTGAATCATATCATCAAAGCATTCTCCTTCTTTACTAAAGGTAGAGATATCTTGTTGTATACTTGTGTGCCTCCATGGATTGATCATGACCCCAATCATACAATATGATCATGCCCCTCAAGAGCACAACGTTTTAGTATATCAAAGGTCCACAACGCTTCCACAAGACAACTATGGTGACTCAGGTCGCAGACGTTATTATTGCAACTATAGAGATCTTGTTTGACATGCAAGTAAAATTTCCATGCAAGATCCCTAGTTGATCGCGCTCAGTGAATTCACTCCCTAATGAACTCTTATACACTTATCTTAGTATCTTTACACAAATGACATGAGACCAGTCATCCACCCAATTGAGCAAATATGTCTTTGCGGATTGTCAATGCCCAGTTGACAATCATATGAACAAGAACTCTTCAGGGTGTGAGTTTATAGGGAAAACTCTTCTGGACCCAACTTCTTTAGATAGTTTTCTGCATCTCATTGCCCATGGACTTGTCATTTAGATGGATAACCTAAATCGACTAATTACCCTTGTTATTTACCAAAAAAGGTAATGAAATATCCTTAAAGTTACATCATATGTTTGGCTTTAGAGCATATTTCTAACATCAACAAATTTTAATTCTGAATACTGCAAAAAACAAACATGAGAATGACAACAAAAGATTCATTATCATGTATTTTCAAGCCTTCAAATTTAAATTTTTCATTCCAATCTTATAGGAAAAAGCATGACAATGACATTCCCAAACAAGCATCTCCAAGGGTAGAGGCAAAAGAGTAGGCCTTGCCACATCAACATTTTCATGGTCTAAGGGAAGAGGCAAATGGGTAGACAAAATATACATACTCTCCTCAATAAGGCAATATTATCTACTTCAAAGTGAATAGGTATATTGGGCCCTATATAATTTTATTATTATAAAATACAATTTTCTTTTGTTTTTCTATGGTAGGTAAAATGCCGGAAATGTAAAAAATGAAAATAAATAATATAATATTGCGTTACCTAATTCATTTGCCTAGCTAGTCCATTGAAATGAGCGATTTTCTTTAAAGAGACAATTGAATCCATATAGTTCACTTTTTACCTACTTCATTTGTTTATACCCTTCGAGATGCTGTAGTGACTTTTCAAATCTTGACCGTGGTAATTGGCAAAGTTGGCATTACAAGAACCCAAATTGATGTCTAAAATCCAACACTTGACTTGTGTTTTTCCTACCAGCTCAACGACTGCCTTCTTTCTTACCCTCTAGCCCCTGTCCTACTCTGGCTCCTATTGACTAACAGAATAGTCCAGCCAAGATTTTTCTGTCGTGAGGTGACGGGGAAGAAGGCAATGAAGTTTCCCGGAAAGTGGAAAGCCTGGAAAATGTCCCAAGCAGTACAAGCAGCACGGGTAAAAAGAAAGACGGCCTCTGTGTAAAATTTGATTACACTATTTTTTTAATTTTTTTTTCTTTTTACTATTATATAAAGGATAATGATTTCCTCATTCTAATTTTATCCACTTACACTT